GCTCAAATTTGGTCATTAAGGGCCGAAAATCGGGGGGGCAGCTCGCATAACCATTAACAAATTAGATAGCTAACGCTTAAATTTACAGATAAACGTCAATGTGCCTCAAGCGACCAAAATAACGGCATCGCCAGTACTCATACTAATCACCATATGGATAGAATGTTCCTGCATTCAAGATCTTACGTACAGCAATTTTATTTTGTATTAACTGTGCAAATTACTACCTAGTTGCAATCGTTTTAGTGTTGTATCATGAAACAGAGTTAATTAAACCATTCCCATAGGAGCACAATGGTTTGATTTTAAGAGGGCTTAGGCAACCAGAAGATCCGTCTATGAGCTTGCCTGATCATAGACAAAAAGCAACATAATGATTCACCATAGTTTGCCTCAAGCTAGTCAGGAGTGTGCATTTTGCATCAGCAACATTCTCTATATCCAACGAATTACTCAAAAAGCATGAGTAAGCTGCCGGTTTGTTCACCAAAATCAGTGAAATGCGGAGGCTCCTTCATAAGCCTTGAGGCAAGTTGAAGGTCTGGCGTGGGTTCCAGAATCAACGCTGCCAACATTGTGTCAAACTATTGCTCGTCCACGTTTTGCATCCCCCTGAGGTCACCGAATGTCTTGCAAAAATGCAATGATTAGATAAATTTGCGAAACAATCAGTTGATCCTATCACTGGTAATATGTCCGCTATTTGACATGCGCCTACAGTGGTAATGAATGCACACATATTTTCACGGCTATGTGATTAAAGGCAGGATGCTTCCTAGCAATTTGCGTTTTTGGAAAAAGGATAGAATTGCGGCTGTTTAACCTTTCAAATATTCACTTTAGCACAATGAGTTAACTGAAGAGAATGCGCATAAATCTAAACCACAGTTATCGCATGAGCGTGTTTGTTTGGTCTGGGCTTCACTCAATGACGAACATATATAAGCAAAGCCAAAGGCTGCAGTAGATGCGGTTAGGATTTTACCTGTTCCATATATCGGCAGAGAGAACTGAAACTGCTATTATATCAGCCGACACGGTTTGTGGTCAAGCTGTTGATAATTGGCTTTGGTCAAGATCATGAGTGTTGAAGCACCTAGCTCACACGCTCCGCACGATTCGGTTTCCATCACTCTACTGATTACAAGTTTATGGTATCAATCCTTAGATACAAATGCACTTTTGGTCAAGACGCGGTCATTCACACTGGTTGCCAGATAGCACACCATTCTAAAAATAGACAAACGCTGCCGAATATCTGTCTCTAGGCTTCCCACAGTACTCATTTCTAACTTACAGCCACTTTGATTATACTGTCCCACAGTGAAAAAAGCCATGTGCATGGTCGCCTATGGGATTTCCTCAATGAGGACAGCAGTAGTGCTGCTCTTCTCTGTGGTTGATGGTAATCACTACTGGATCTTTGTGCTTGCACCGTAGTTTGAGAAGCCTCCAATTTTCTTCGATCAGCAGGAGCCAGCAGTCGCTGCTTAAGTTCGCCTCTAATACTTTCTTGCTTGTAACTCAAAATAAATGCGACTACTATTAAACGTTTTGAGCATTTACTAAATGAATATCCCAGCATTGCAGTTTACGAGGCTGTTCATAATGGTGGAGCGGTAGTAGCAGTCTGCCACTAGATGAAAAGAAGGTTGGGAAATATGGTGCGACTTCTGAACTAAATGATATCACTTGAAATCCCCAGTTCCACTGAATGAACATGCCTTGGCCAAATATCGCCAAGAGAAATGATTACCATTTTACGTACAGGTAGGCTAATCAACCGACATATTTTGAGCAGTTTTGATGCGGAATGTTCCGATTGCCGGGCAATAAATTGCGGACATATCGAACTGGCATATGCGAGTGCGCAATACTTCGATATCGCATTTTCTTCCACATTTCCCACTGTTGCTTTTGCTACATCCACTGCATCACATGACTTGAGGTGAGATCATATTTACTGACATGGATTTGTCTAGGGGTAAATCTAAACTCAGAACTGTGGCGTTATTCAGAGCCACTCCTCCAATTCGCTAGTGTGCGTGTGGTGCAGAGAGCAATGTGTGCTCATGCGCTGTCTCGGTACAATGAACCTCAGGCATCGATGCCATCAACGAGGCGATACATTACACACAGGTGAATTTAACTAGAACAAATTCAGCAGTAATGTTAATTCCTATCAGAGACTGATTCTCTCCCCATAGACAACCTACCATTTTTGAAATATACATCTCAGTTGGCTGTTTGTAATCTTTTCGTAGACAAACTACTACTTGCTTTAGGAAACACTACATTAATCTTGCCTTGCTGCGTCAATGCTGAAAATTAAGCAAACGCACGCCCCAATCCTTGTGCGTGGTGGTAGTGCCATGTCTAAACCCCTCATCCTGATCGTGCATGCCAACCGATCAAGCAAACGTGTAAAG